AATCAGTTGGTAACAATCCGATAAAACGTCATAACCTTTGATCTGCTGATAACCAACAGCTCTTAAGCATTTTATTTCTCAAACAAAAATTATTTGAATTTTTTTGCTATTTTTATCTCTACAACCTCGACTTGTCTATATATTTTTTGTAGCTTACTTTAACTACTGTCTGCAATCTGAAAAAAAAATCATATGTTTGCTGACTCAAAAATTTTTAAAAAATATTCAACTAAAAATTTGAGTGCTGACATGAAAGCAAATAACTGATCCATATTATAATTTCTTTCAAGCTACCATTTTTCAGCTTTCCATAGCTTTTCGTCAACTCCATGACTACTGTTCGGTAGAACCGTCTGTTACATTGATTCGTCATAGAACACAGATACAATTCAATTTTAAAGCATTTGAAGCCTAATCACCACCCTCTTATAAGTTACTCAGCAATGTCGCTGTCGTTCGTTCGGCGGTTTAATGCCTTAAAGTTACATCACAGCTATAGGTATTAAACTAACTAAGTCCACAAGGAAAAAAACTTGTCGGGAAGAAGAGAAAAGAAAAATAATGAATGTTCTAATTAATGATCTTCACTTGGCGACAATTTTACAATTAAAAAAGCGTCTGAGAATTATAGACAGCTCTAGCATTTCTAATGTTTCCGTCAGACAGCGTCACTGACGTGTGATGAAGAGGGTCTTGTGCGCCTTTTATAGCACGGTTTATGGAAGCACTGATACTGCATTAAACAAATCTGTTAGAGTTCTGCCACTTCAAACCACAGTTTAAAGGAATGTTGAATCCGCGTCAGGAACTTATAAATGAATGTAAAAATTAGTAGAACTTAATCTGTCTCTAGGATTGCTAGGAAATCAGGTGGCTTCTTTGAGGGGCCCATCGTCCCGTTTTTAGTTTCACGTCCAAAACTGTTTCCTACAGCGATTGGAATGTCTAAAGACCTATACTATTAAATAGCCGGGTTTTTTTTTTCTTTGCTATAAAGCTGTTACTTGAATTATTATAGTTTTCTTTAATTATTGGTTCTCTGTCGATTTTTCTTCTGTATTTTATCGTATGATAATATGTTACTTGATATTAAATCATAGTATGAAAGTATTGTTGTGCAACTGTAAAAGCCAATTAAAAAATAAATATAATTATATAAATACTTCATGATTTAAACAGTACAAAAGTAGCATAAAGGTTTTTTGATAGCACCAGTGATTTCAAATGTATTTATTCCAAGTACATTTATTAGATAAAAGATTTTTCTAAAGAAATTTATATTACACTGTTTTGTTTTATGCGACTTATACTGTTATAAAAACGTTTTTCTTTTCACAAGTAATTTAACTCAGTAACTGTGAAAGGAAAAGTTGAAAATTGGGAAACTGACGGCGATTTTCTCAGTTACGTATTTTCCCAATCAGAATAACACTGTACCAGTCGTCTAAAAGTCGTCAATTAAGCAAACAAGCGTCTTTTTTCTTTTACTTTTTAAGAAGCTAAAATTACAAAAGAATGTTTATTAGGTTGTTGTAGCCTTTTTTACGATTATTTCTTCTAGAATTTGATAGTCATTTAGGTCAGAAACTGTGATACAATTTTTTCCCATACTGTTTGTTTATAGTAAACAATAAAGGCAATGCATTCTTTGTGCCGGCTGAATTATTTCCCAACTTGAATAACTTTTTTTTTTTTT